TGTTTGTTTTCAATTGAAAGGTTAAGTTCTGGAGAACATTTCTGTGGCCTGGGTTGGATTCTGTGGCTGCAGAACATTTCGCGCCCTGGCAATGGACTGGGAACAGCTCTAAGGAACTGCCACAATGTCAGCTACAATGATTTTTAGCTGCAAGCTTGGCAACCATTTGGATGGGGCTAAACCACATTCTAGACTAAACTCGGTCACTACCAAGGCTAGAGCAGTAGACCAGATTCATTCCAGGGTACAATGGGATGGCAGCAAAGCCCCAAGAGTGGGAAACACCAGAAAGGGGCAAGTGGGATGGCAGGAGGAACAGCATTTTCTGTAGACAAATACAGGAGACTTGAGGGTGGGGGTTCATAGAGGTGTGTTTTACACTTTCTGCATCAGCTTGTGTGACTATGGTCCTCAGTTCTGAAACATGAGCAACTATAATAGCTTGCTCAAATGAGATTGGAGGCACCTGTTTAGCAAGACACAGGTATGCCCCTGGTTTCTTCGCTCTATTTGAAGCTCACTGTGGACATCAAATATCACTTTGGCTCAAAAGAAAGCAGAGCGTAAATGGTGCAGGGGGACAACAATGGAATAGGCAGTAAGTAGTACTAATAACACATTTTGTAAAGAGACACACATGGCTATAAAACGCTTCTCTGGTGTCTATACAGTGACTAACCCAATTAATGGATTTGGACATGAACAAGAAAATGGGACTATTCAGTACCTCATCCATAAAGAGGTGGTCAAGAGCAGCAAGGTCTTGTGAAGAGGGGAGGAGTTTCCAGCCCTGCTACCAAAAAAGGGCAGGCTGTACAGCAATGACAGCATGGACAGGTACTGCATCAAAGCACTAGGGTGTGATGGAGAGCATCAGAACTGTTTGAGGTCATCCTTACCAGAAACAGCAGTTTAGGTATCACAGTTAAGTGATGGTGCAGATGATGAAACCAGGTTAGAGACTTCTAGGCCCCAGTTCTTGGGTCCAGGGAAATGGTGTCTGGAGCAGGACTGGGAAGTGGGAGGAAGGTGGCTGTATGTTATCTTTGGACCCATTGAGACTTAGGGCTGCTGCAAAAGAGTGAGTTTGGTCCCCAGCATAAGTGTGGGCTGCTCTAAGTTAGACTGGCAGGTATTGTCCAAGGCAGGGATCAGCAACCTTTGGCACACAGCCTGCCAGGATAAGCTCCCTGGCGGGCCGTGCCGGTTTGTTTACCTGCCGCGTCCGCAGGTTTGGCCGATCGCGGCTCCCACTGGCCCTGGTTCATCGCTCCAGGCCAAAGGGGGCTGCAGGAAGCAGCGCGGGCCGAGGGATGTGCTGGCCGTCGCTTCCTACAGCCCCAATTTCCTGTTCTGAACACAAGAACATAGAGGAACCCTAAAATATGCCATCATCTAGTTGCCTCTTTTTGCATGTAGATGAGTGATGGAAGCAAATGTTACTTGGGAACTTGTAGGAAACCAGACAAGTGGAGAATTGGGCATGACGCGGCAGGTTCGGCCGATCGCGGCCCCCACTGGCCGCGGTTCTCCATCCTGGGCCAATGGGGGCGGCGAGAAGTGGCGCAGGCGAGCGATGTGCTGGCTGCGGCTTCTCGCCACCCCCATTGGCCCGGGACGGCGAACCGCGGCCAGTGGGGGCCGCGATCTGCCGAACCTGCCGCGTCAGCAGGTAAATAAAACTGGCCCGGCCCGCCAGGGTGCTTACCCTGGCGAGCCGCGTGCCGAATGTTGCCAACCCCTGGCTTAAACATTGAACTGAGCAGTGCTTCCAGTGTCAGGGGCAGGGAGGAGTCCTCCCTCCATGACACACAGAGATCATGGAGCTACTTCATGGCCAGCACTCAGCAGTATGTTGTGCAAGGCTGCAACAGCCTCTGTGGACCCAGCTCCTTCCTTCTGTAAGTGGGAGATGGAGGGGATCTGCATAGCAGCAAATCTTCTAACCCGACCTCCAGCTTTCTGGCACACAGTGACTGTGTGTTCCACACAGGGAGCAAGCTTGAAAATCTACACAAGAGTCCTCCCACACAGAGCCAGCTGCATTTAGTCAGTTGCCACAGAAGCCACAGCATGGGGCAGGGATCGCTAGCTGGAGGACTCTCTGCTAATTGAAGTCTCTAAACCACAGGATTTGGGGACTTCAACAGCAGAGTCAAGGGAAAGGGTTGGGACGGCTTTGTGGCCTGCATTATGCGGGAGGTCAGACTAGATGATCATAATGGTCCCTTCTGACCTTAAAGTCTATGAGTCTATGAGCTACCACAGAAATGAGGGGCAGAATTTGCCTTACAAATCAAATTTTTAAAAATCCTCTTTTTAGACAACATGCAAAATTGTCATTTCATGCCCAATTCTCCACTTGTCTGGTTTCCTATAAGTTCCCAAGTAACATTTGCTTCCATCACTCACCTACATGCAAAAAGAGGCAACTAGATGATGGCATATTTTAGGGTTCCTCTATGTTCTTGTGTTTAGAACAGGAAATATTTTTGTTTCTACACAATTTGCCTTAAGCACACAGTCTGCCCTGCCTTCCTCTCTACTCTCATCTCCTGTGCTAATTTTCTTTAACTGAATCCCTTTGTCTTATCTCACCTTCACAGATTTGGGCTCAGACCCGGTTTCAGACACAGGTGAGTAGGGTCACTTTTCAGCACAGTCCCTCATGAATAGAGCTGACCGGAGGATAACAATTCTGTTTTGCAGCAACTTTTGTGATTTCAAAATAACATCTCATTCTGTGTTGGAACTAAAATAAACCTTTTGAATGTTTTCATAAAAATGGAATTGTGTTGATCCATTTTTGGATCACAAGTTGAGCTTTTCAATTCTGGAAAAGGGTTCCGGGGAGAAGGCTCTGCTTGGGGATGTGAAAGACCCAGGTTCAAGTCCCTGTTCTGGCTGATTGAGAGCCAAGTTCTTCAACCCACTCAGCAACAGGCAAAGCAAGGACTTGAACCTGCATCTCCCCCATACCAGTCCAGTATTCCAACCACCAGGCTCCAGGGTTGGTTGGTTGCAACACACACACAAAATCCTTACTGACAAAAACGTTGTTGAAACTATTAACTCTCTGTGCAAGTGCAGAGGATTCAGAGAAGAGCCATGCGAATGATGACAGAATTAGAAACATGCCTTAGTGATAGACTCAAAGAGATCAATTTATTTACCTTAACAAGGAGACGGTTAAGGGCTGACTTGGGCTATGTCTACACTACAGATCTTACAGCAGCACAGCTGTACTGCTTGCAGCTGCGCCGCTGTAAGATCTCCCATGTAACCGCTCTATGCCAATGGGAGAGAGCTCTCCCACTGGCATAATTAAACCACCCCCAACGAGTGGCAGTAGCTATGTCAGCAGGAAAGCATGTCCCGCTGACATAGCGCTGTCCACACCTGTGCTTTTGTCAGTGAAACTTAATGTCGGTCAGGGGGTGTTTGTCTCACATCCCTGACTAAAAAAAGATTTACAGACAAAAGTGCTAGCGTAGACAAAGCCTTGATTACTGTCTACATAGGGAACAAATATTTAATAATAGGCTCTTCAATCTAGCAGAGAAAGATATAACATGATCCAATGGCTGGAAATTGAAGCTAAACAAATTCAGACTGGAAATGAGGCATACATTTTTAACAGTGAGAGTCATGAACCATTGGAACAATTTACCAAGGATCGTGAGAGTTCTCCATCACTTACATCTTTTAAATCAAGATTGGATGTTTTACTAAAAGATCTACTCTAGGAATTTATTTGGGGAAGTTCTATGGCCTGTGCTATATAGGAGGTCAAACTAAATCAGGGGTCGGCAACGTTCGGCACGCAGCTCCCCAGGGTAAGTGTCCTGGCGGGCCGGCCAGTTTTATTTAGCGGCTAACGCGGCAGGTTCGGCCGATTGCGGCCCCCACTGGTTCGCCGTCCCGGGCCAATGGGGGCGGTGAGAAGCCGTGGCCAGCACATCCCTCGCCCGCACCGCTTCTCGCCACCCCCATTGGCCCGGGACGGCGAACCGCGGCCAGTGGGGGCCGCGATCGGCCGAACCTGCCGCGTCAGCAGGTAAATAAAACTGGCCCACTCTGGCGAGCCGCGGGCCGAATGTTGCCGACCACTGAACTAAATGATCACAATTGTCCCTTCTGGCCTCTCAATCTAGGAATCTGTCATTATTTGAGCTTCAACTAAATGAAATTTTATAATATTTTTGACAACCAACTCTACTCACGGATTGCTGTCCATATTACAAATCTGCCATGCAATTCCACTGTCTTGCCCCTCTCAGGATAGGGAGGCGGTGAGGCAAGTCAGGACTGAATAACCCAAGCAGAGCTACATTGACAAAGTTCACATGCCTCCTGCCAGTACTGTGCCTGACTGCAGTCAGTGGTAGGCTCTCATTTCCATGAGTATTAAATGGGAGCGTTAGAAAACTCTTTTGTCTGTGCTTTTAACCAGATTGATCATCCTGTAATGAAAACCTGAATGAAATTCCTGAGCAGGATCTAACAAGTTCACTGTACTCCATCAAGTTATTTCACTTAACAGATATTTCAGGCAGAGCTTACCCCGCTCTCCCTTCCACTCTACTATTCAATCTAGTTTGGGTGGATCTTTGCTATCTGATTAAACCAGTATATTATGATAACAAAGAAAGTATTACACCAAAAGTTTCAGAGAGCAACATATTTTGAAGGTCAGAAGCCTTCAAATGCTTTTGAATCAAGGGATCATTCTTTTGAGAACCTTCAAAAATTTGCCTTTAAAAGTATTGTGCACTTGCTAAAGCCAGATAATAGAACAATGTTCCAATGTGGCATTTAGAGCTTTCCAGTATATGAAAGGGAAATTGTGTAATAGGATTTATTCACAAGTTACATAAGATAATTTTTTACTGACCTAAAAATTTTTAACCTTTCTCCTTCCTTCATAACCAAGTCAGATAAAGGACAGAATGCAAACTCTGACATGATTACTTACCCTTGCTTATCCAAAAGCCCCTTACCTCAGTCATTTCTTCTGTCAGATCACCACTCAGGCGTGCTCTCTGCAGCAATGCGAAGAGGTCAATGTTGGATTTCCGTCTGGGTTCTGATCCACACATGACTTCCGTTTCTGTTTCAATAATGTTGATTTCCGTGTGCACAGCCTCCTGCTGTCTCCATTGCAGGTCCTCTCCTGCCATTTTCAAAGAAGTGCTGCTGCTCTTGAGAGACATGACCGAGCTGGAAAGAGTGCTGGGGATATAGGTGGACAAGGCCTGCAAACCTGAATAAGTAGTTTCTTCGTCTGTGAAAGACTCACTCTCCAGTATGTCAGGCACAGATACGCTGAGGCGTCGGTCCAAGGAATGCCTTTGCCTTCTATCCACCATTTTTCTAGAGCTTTTCTTTATCCTCTTTATGTTGAAGTTTTGTAACAAAGGCCTGGTCTTCTGTTTCAGGGATCCCCAGACAGAGGATCTATCCAAATCCATAGCTGCAACGGGGATGTCACAAGCTCCTTGGCATTGTTGGTTTTAAATGACTTCAGTAATTCATAGGGTGACTAAAAAGAATGTGAGAAGAATGAAAGCTAAATCATTAAAGTGAACAGCAGTTGTGGATTATGACACATGATGTCTCAACCACACACCTTCAGTCCATTTCTAACAAGAGGAAAGCACGCTGCATTATTAGGGAGGGAATTAGCAGTAGAAAGTGTGCCCTACACTAAGGAATGATAGTAAAGATTATGTGAGGCCCATTTCCTTTAGGATCATCAGAAGTGGACGATTTCCACTCTTTCCCCAACTGAAACCAGATATTGTGGGTTATCAAACTTTATGAATTAAAATATTCAACTTGACAACTACTAGAGTTACTGTAATCTGGAAGAGTGATTGGCTTAGTATACATTGTAAACAAAGATTACTCATGGAAATGTTTTCATGAGAAAAAAATTACAATGCTAGTATACCTTCTTTGCACACTTTCCTGCCTGAAAGAACATAAGCAATGCCATACTGGGTCAAACCAATGGTCTGTCTAGCCCAGTATCCTGTCTCTGACAATGGCCAGTACCAAAGCTTCAGGGGTAGTGTACAGAACAGGGCAGTTGGAATGATCCATCCCTGTCTTCTCCTCCTGGCTTCACCATTTGTTTCCTATCTTTTAACTAGTTAATGATCCATGAGAGGATATTCCCTCTTATCCCATGATTACTTAGTTTCCTTAAGAGCCTTTGGTGAAGGAGTCTTGTCAAAGGCTTTCTGGAAAGCCAAGTACTCTATGTCGACTGGATCACCCTTATCCACATGCTTGTTGACACCCTCAAAGAATTCTCAGATTGGTAAAGCATGATTTTCCTTTACAAAAGCCATGTTGACTCTTCCCCAATAAATCATGGATATCTACGTATCTGGTAATTCTGTTCTTTACTATTGTTTCTACCAATTTTCCCAGTACTGAAGTTGGGTTTACCGGCCTGTAATTGCCAGGATCACCTCTAGAGCCCTTTTTAAAATTGGTATTATATTAGCTAGTTTCCAGTCATCTGGTACAGAGGTTTGTTTGTACAACAGGTTACATACTACACATAGTAGCTCTGCAATGTCATATTTGAGTTCCTTCAGAACTTTTGGGTGAATACTATCTGGTCTGACGACTTATTCCTGTTTAATGTATCAATTTGTTCTAAAATCTCTTCTACTGACACTTCAGCGTGGAACAGTACTTCAGATATGTTGACCACAAAGGATAGCTCTGGCGAGAGTATCTCCTGCACATCCTATCTAAAACTTTCAGCAAATTCATGGGCATCCCAGTATACCAACTCATAAACAGAACACTGAGGACTGCCACTCAGTCAAGGTGGAGTGAACAGTGATGGCTCAAGCAACAGCTAAGAATCTAGTAATCCAGGCTTCAATTGATGCACAGCTAATAACATGCTCTGCACACATTATTGTCCCTGAATTCTCTGCACTCATTATTGTCCCTGGAAGTCCCTCCCTCCCCACAGAAACACACCACTACAAGACAGAATTATTCTTTGGAGGAGACCACTTTGAAGGTTTAGCCCAGCAAGAGCTATAAATGCAAGGTGCTTGAAGGCAAGGAAAGCATGGATTTGTAAAATACCATCTGAATTCGATTAAAGAGACATACTTTAATCTACACACACATACACAAAGTAAAACTTGTTCAAACACGTATCCCCCAGCCATAGATCCTGCAGACCCTTCTTCATGCAAGTAGTACATATTCCTCCATCACGATGGAGAGGTGAATGCTATGGGCTGAACACTTTGAAGCAATTCTCAATTGCCCCTCAGTCATCAATGATGAGGCCACTGACAAGCTGCCCCAGGTTGCAGTCAATGACTCCATGGATGCTTCACCAGAAGAGGACGAAGTGAAGAAAGCTATCAATCAGCTGTCAAGTGGCAAAGCTCCAGGGTCAGATGCCATACCAGCAGAGGTGTACAAAGTCGGTGGACCCGTGCTGCTACGGAAACTCACTGAGCTGTTTCAGTCCTTCTGGAAGCAGGAAACCATTCCACAAGAATTTAGAGACGCGTCCATCTTGCACCTCTATAAGAGGAAGGGCAATCGCCAGGTATGCAACAATCACCGTGGAATCTCGCTGTTTTCTACAGCGGGGAAAGTTCTTGCACAGGTTCTGTTGAACCGATTGATCACTCACCTGGAGAAGGGCTTACTGCCAGAATCACAGTGTGGCTTCCGCAAAGGACGTGGGACTATTGACATGATCTTTGCTGTGTGTCAGCTACAGGAGAAATGTCAAGAGCAGAATCGTGAACTCTGCACAACTTTTGTGGACCTCACGAAAGCATTTGACTCTGTCAGTCGCCAGGGCCTGTGGAGGATCATGTCGAAATTTGGCTGTCCAGACAGATTTATATGAATGGTACGTCAATTTCATCACGGTCTGATGGCTCGTGTCCTGGATGACGGTGAAACATCTGAGGCCTTCCCAGTCACCAACGGCGTCAAGCAAGGGTGTGTTTTAGCACCCACTTTGTTCAGCATGATATTCTCTGCCACTCTGACTGATGCCTTTCAACACTGCACTGAAGGAGTAGGCCTGAAGTATAGAACTGACGGGAAACTATTCAATCTGAGGTGACTGCGTGCCATCACCAAGGTGAAGGAAACTGTACTTCGAGACTTTCTCTTTGCCGATGATTGTGCTCTGAATGCTAGTACAGAGCCAGAAATGCAAGCCAATATGGACAAGTTTTCAACTGCATGCAACAACTTCGGTCTCACCATTAACATCAAGAAGACTGAGGTTATGCACCAACCAGCTCCCCACGCTCCGTACTCAGAACCGTCCATCACTGTAAATGGACAGAGACTTCAGACAGTGGACCACTTCACGTACCTGGGCAGTACCCTTTCCCGAGCAGTGTCAATCGATGCTGAAGTAAACTGCAGAATTGCTAAAGCCAGCTCTGCATTTGGCCAATTGTGCTCCAACGTTTGGGAACGTCGAGGGATCAGCCTACCAACAAAGCTGAAGGTTTACCAAGCAGTGGTGCTTCCAACTCTACTGTACGCCTGCGAGACGTGGACTGTCTATCGGAGTCATGCACGAAGGCTCAATCACTTCCACATTTCCTGTCTGCGAAAGCTTCTAAAAATCAGATGGCAGGACAAAGTGCCTAGAGCCAGTCTGCCATCAGTTCACACATTGCTGGTGAGAGCCCAGACCAGGTGGGCCGGACACGTCGTGAGAATGTCAGACGAACGCATTCCTAAACAGCTCTTCTACGGAGAACTCACTCAGGGAAAGCGCTCCCATGAAGGACAAAAGAAGCGGTTCAAGGCCACGCTGAAGACCTCTTTGAAGTCCTTCGAGATCAACACCGCCACATGGGAAACCTTCGCACTGAACCGTCCAGCATGGCGCAGCCTCATTCACACAGGCAGTAATACCTCTGAGGCGAGGCGTATTGCTGAGGCTGAAAAAAAGCATGAGCTGCGCAAGTCCAGAGCTGCTCATACATCATCGACAGTGCCATTACATGTCTGCCCAACGTGTGACAGGACGTTCCACGCCCGAATCGGACTGATCAGTCATCTTCGGACGCACAGAGCCCGGTCATCGAAAGAATGAGTTGTTGAGGTCTTCATCGATAACGATGGACGAACATCAGTACATATTCCTCCATCACGATGGAGAGGTGGTGAGGCCAAATCTGAGTGATTGGCATTTGTGACCCCGTGCACCATATCACTAGGCTCAGATTGAGGAGTCAGGCCCAGCTCTGTAGGACAGGAGCCACTGTTGCAGGGTGAGCGTGTGGTGGGCTCGCTCTCCATCACAACTTCCTGGTATAGTGCATCCACTGAATCAGGAGGCCCCCAGAATAGACCCACTGATATCAGAGAGACTAGTGACATCAGAAATACTTTTTAATTTCATTTAGAATGGCCAAAACCAGACCCTCTGAGAGGACTAAGGGAGAAAAACGTTTTAATGGACTTCAGAACAGTTGTGAGGTGGAACACAACTAGTTTGGCCACAGAGCATTTAATAACTGAAGCCAACATACTTAGGGAACCCATCTCTGCATACACTTCTTTACAAACTAAGCTATGGCTTTCAACTGTAGAAATGAGATAAATATACTTAATTTAACCAGCCAGCTGCTGGTTAACAAGCCACCAATCCACATTTTAAACTCTGCCCCTCCCTACATATCCACTCCTTGTCTCCCGCAGGCTGGTGCAAAGTTGCCTGAAGTTAGTTGGACTCTTTCTGTGGACTTCAATAGGCTTTGGATATGGCCCTTATTGCATCGCCTTGCCCCTCACCCTGTTTCCTCTTCTCCGCCAATGACGCCAGCCTCAGTCGCTTACTTGTCAGCTCCTCCCACAAACACCTTTGAACATCCTTCGATCCCACCCCTCATGCATGCAGCGCTCACTGAGGCATAAGGCTACTATTCTCCCTTCCAGACCCATTTCTGCTGTGGTGCCGACACGCAGTCGGACAACGTTGATGCAGTAAGGCCAAAGGACAGTTGAGGCATGCTGATATTTTTGAGGAAATAATAAAACTTTAAAAAGTTAGAAAATGTATATAAAAGTCCAGCCTAGATGTCTTTCTAGAATCCATCGCTCAATTAGAAGTTATGGGCTTGATGCAGAAATTATTGGGTGGGGTTCTTTAGCCTGTGTTATACAGGAGGTCAGACTAGATGACCATATGGGTCCCTGCTGACCTCATAATATACTTATACAATCTTTCTCATCGATAGATTTTAAGGTTGTCACTCTCCCTCCATATCGTTGTTCTTTTTAGACAGGGACTGTGTTTTCCTCGCTGTAGTGATTAGCACAACTGGACCATGATCCCAAATTGGCCCTCTGGGTATTAATGTAATATAAACAATTAATAAAAATGAGCTAAATCAATACAAATCTTATTGACTACAGCATTAATAGCATGCAATCTCAGAAATAGATATCCAAACAACCTGACTCAAAAAGAAAAAAGAATCCCCAAACACACTTTCCTGGGCAGACTTTAAAAAT